CCCCAAAACCCCAAAACCCCAAAACCCCATGACTTGGAGATAAAAGTTCTTTTGCATGACTATTTTAATAGCGATTTGTTATTAATTATTATTATTAGCTTCTACGATCACATACCCTTGTTGAAGATGAGTGAAATTAAATCAGTGCAAACTTTTGGTAGAAAGAAGAACTCTACAGCTGTGGCATACTGCACCAACGGAACTGGATACATCAGAGTAAACGGCAGAGCCCTCAACCTCGTTGAACCAGAGGCCCTTAGAATCAAGGTTTACGAGCCAATTCTCTTGGTCGGTGGTAACAAATTCAAGGACCTCAACATCAGATGCAGAGTTAAGGGTGGCGGTCCATCAACCCAAGTTCAAGCAATCAGACAAGCTATTGCCAAGGCTCTTCTCGCTTACTACCAAAAATATCACGATGAGCAATCAAAGAGAGAACTTAAGGACATATTCCTTCAATACGACAAGACTCTCCTCGTTACTGACCCAAGAAGATGTGAACCAAAGAAGTTCGGAGGTAACGGTGCCAGAGCAAGATTCCAAAAATCTTACAGATGAACTAAGTTGCCTTTGGTGCTTGCCACAATATTAGCTTATCTAGCTTAATTTCTCAAATAAATATAGATCATATTGTGTGTTTAAGATATATATAATGTATAACTCTCATATTTATTCATAATACATATTTAATTAAGAGAATTAGAATACTAAAAATTATTTAAACTAAGTTAAGGTATTCTGAGAAAATTAGGTTTAAATTAAATCAGCCGTGGGTTCTCCTTTTATAAAGCAAGTGGCTTTTTTATCTTTAAGACTAGTGTTTAACTACTTTTAATGATAATTGAGTCTACTTGTGTAGCACATCTTAAAAGCCTCTGACCCAGCAGCTGTCCTTGCTCATTCATATTGAAGAACTCATTATCTTCAATTTAACCTTTTTACAACACTGACTATCTAACAATCCATTTCATCTTTATCTACATAGTCATTATACTGATTAGCTTCTACCAAATAGACATTACCAACCTCGTGTATTTATTCGATATATAATTGATCTTCCTTGTCTTTGACAACATTTTAAATATTGTATATAGGTCTTCATTGTTAAGACCCCACCTTCACCTTCATCATCAATCAAATCTGACAACTCCCCATTATTATTATCTTCCTAAGAATCAATTTCTTCATCATTGCCTCTTTAAAAAAGCAGTTAAGGATAGGAGTAGTTTAGAATTTACTTAGAATAAGGTCCTACTTGCTACAGTTTCTCAAGGAATTTCCTAGCTTATCCATCAATAATCATGTCTTCACCTTCATTTTTTAATGAGTTGATATACCATCTCCTTTAATATGAATGATTATATTTTTAATTTGTGGTCTTTCTATATCTCTGAAGGAGAATCTTCATTAAACAGATCTTGCTAATTTTAGTTTTGATAATTTTGATACAATTCTTGATTTTCCAATTCTATATTAATTTGAATTCCAGTTGGAGGTTACATTTTAACTTTTGTACTACCTTTTTACTTGGTTAATGTTACTATTTCTTCTTATTCTCAAAGTCATATTACTCTTGTAATACTCTATCTTTTTAAATTTCTATTAATACTTCTCTCTAAATTTTAAACATTACTGTCACATCATTCAGTCTATGATTTGTATAGAACAGAGCAGAAATAGAGTTAAGTAAATTCTTGTATTCATGCAGATCTGATTCATTATTAATTTTCCCTAAAGTGAATAGCTCATTAATGAACTCGTTTTACATTGCAGTATTTCCCTCAATATTTTATATTAATTCTTTAGGAGATCCTCAGAGTCTGATTGATTATCCTCCTCTTCATCCCCTTAGTCTTATCTGTTTTTATATTTTGACTATATGTACTTAAATGCTTGCTTTCTTATTTCTATTATTTTCACTTTATTCAATAGTTTACTCCCTACTTATAACACCATTTATAGGTTATTAATTCTTGTAAACTATTTGCTATTGTTGGAAAATATCTTTTTATTCCTCTATCTCCACCATAATTATATTCATCATCCATAATATCTATTAGCATTAACTACTGTTACTTAAAATAAAACTGAGTTAAAGATAGAATTCATCTTTTCTTTGCTGCAGTCTACTGTCACCTCTATGATGCTTTTTTTGTTCTTCTTAGTCATAATCTTTGAACTACTTTTAATCAAGTCAGTAGTACTTAGATTGCTTAAAAAACACAGTCTAAGTATTGATTTTGTTTCCCTTTGAAGGATTCTTCATTTATCTATCAGTCTTATCATCCTCTTAGTTGTAATAAAGATAACTTTATCTCATAAAATCATAGATAGCAGCGAAATCATCATATGATGATCCCATTCTATGAATAAGAATGTTATACCTTTAGCCTAGAAACCTGACTCTCTCTAGAAGCTCATCATTTTTAAGCCTTAATCTATGGACTTCTTTCTTGGCCTCACTTTACCCTTATTATCCTGTCTGCTAAACCATCTTACACTGCTTAATCCTCTACTTTAATACCATTTCATTAGTCTTATTTCCTATGTATTGTTCATGCAGTTCATTTAATTCTTTAATGTGCTTTTTAGACTTTTCCTCAATTTCTATTATTAATTTCTTTATCTTAGACTCATACTCACCAAGCTATCTCTTCATCATTAATTTTTGATTTCCAATCTCCTTGTTTATAATTTCATACTTCATAAGAACTAATCACTTCTCTTTAACTTCTTACTCTAAAATTTATTTATCTCTTTGTGTTTTTATTGCTGCATACTTCTATATGCTTCAAGTTATTCAATTATTGAATAGAAAATTTTCTACTTTTCTTCAACATTTTTATTATTTTGCTCAAACTTCATATTATCATCCACTAATTTATATTGATAAAAATATGCCTAAATTTGGCATTATGGGGTTTTGGGGTTTTGGGGTTTTGGGG